GAGTGCGCCTGTGTGGCAGCGACTCGGGTTTGAATCCAGTCTGCAGTGTTTCCTTCAGCCAATGTTCAATGTCTGTGTCCAATGTTCCACTGATGTTCTCTGGATAATTGAGTTGACTGGTATGCTGGGGGTGTTAGTAAAAGGCGATTTCTTAAGCTGTGCCATTATTTATAAAGGTTAATTTATTTCATTAGAAGCACACAATAATTGTGCCATTAGCACACTTCAAGTTTACTTGGAATGCCATTGCAATGCATTTTAAAGTCACTAAAAGTAAGGGATAGTATGACCTCAGTTTGTTATTAGTATGATATTCATGTATGTTCAGCACTCTTACAGTGTAATTGAATTGCAATTGTAATGTCACCAAAATACATTTGAAGTTTATGCTGAATGAATTCTGCATTTCAAAATTAAATAAGAGTGGATATTTAAAGTGCACTTAAGTATACTTGGAATAGTTCCACTTTAGCACAAACAAGTATATTTAATACAACTTTAGTTGAACTTCAGCACTGCTTTTGCACAACTAAAATGTATTTAGTACAAATATAGTTGTTCCAATTTAGCAGACTTTAAGTATACCAATTTATAGGGTGCCACAAATAAATTTAGTTATACTAAAGTACATACAAATAAATTATACTTAAGTATACTATTTTTTCACTAGGGGCAATATTGTAATGCATTACTTTTAAAAATAACATTTCCCAACACTATTGTTTTAGTACCACAACCATTTTTAAGTGTCCCTGCATACAACAGCCATATCATTCATGTGACAGGGAAATTCAGATGGGACAGTCATTGTTAATGAATCAACTAACAATTTATTTAATTTCATTTAAAACAAAATGACATTACTGTGTTTTAAAATTTATGAATATAAGCTATCACAAAATTTAAAAAGAGCCAACAGGAAGGGGAATAAATAACCTTGCTCTATATTTCACAGTGAAAATCAAGAGAGAGTGACATCTCTGAGTCTGATCTCTTGGATTAAGACAGTCAAGACAGTCAAGACCTTGTGATGGGATTAGCTAAGGTGACACACTTGAGGCAAGAAGCTTGTCTCCAGGATAACAGATCACTCAGATGAAGCCTTTAATTGGCATTGACATCACAAAGATAAAAGACCAAATATAAGATCCTTGTAGGTCAGGGATTGTTTTTCAGTCAATGTGCATTTCAGTTCATTCTGATCGTATTGATTCTAAATGTGCTGATTGGTGTCACTACAGCCTACAGATGGATTGTGGTATGGGACAGGGGACTGAATAAATGTCAACAGTCACATATTACTGGCCTGGGCCTCTGTCAAGAGAGATCAGAGGTCACTGTATTTCTTGCCTTGACAATGTAATTAAAAATGAGTGGTATTGATTTAGTTTTTTTTCAATGACACCATGCCAGTTATCTCCATTATTATCGATTATAATAGATGATGAGCTGATATACCAGCTGGGCTGATTAACTGGCTGTTTTGAGTCTACTAAAAGTCTTGTCGATTAAAAATAAATGTTGTTGAAACATTTTGAAGCATAAATATTTAAGAAATGTTGTAATAAATGCATTTGTTATTAATTTTATTGTATAATGTACAATAAGTATTTTCAATAAGTATTTATTAAAAAAACTGTGTAATAAATGTACATTTCCAAATCTTGAGTGAATATTGTACAGTATTTATTAAAAAAAAAAAGTAATACATTAATGTTTCCAATTTCTTGAGGGAATATTGACTTATTTTAGGTTAGATACTTTTTTGTTAGTTTTTTTTAATTTTTTATTTCAGCTAATGGTGTGTGTGTGTGTGTGTATACGTATGTATATACATTTTTATTTGACTAGCTAAAAAGTTTATATTTTTATTAAATTTGTTTGTTTCAAGTTTAAGTAATTTCTTTTTATGGTTTTATTTGTAGTTATCTAAAACAAGTCAAATGTTGAGTAAATATTGTGTAGTATTTATTCATCGGTATTTAGTTATTCATTTCACTTCAGAAATGTTATGTACATCTTATCTGTGTGGATCCTATTAAATTATTCATATATAAGAATTATGTATAAGCCTTGTGTGTAAACATTGTATTTTCAGCCACTCTGTTCCCTACAGTCATTGAAAACCCCATAGCAGTCAACCACTTATTTGTTCTTCTGGAAGTGATTTGGGTTAAGAGGATAACTGACTTGGTAATAAGATGGCTCACACACTCAGTCGGTCACGTCTAGGCTACCTGCTTCTTATTCAAAATTAAATCTAAAAAAGATCAGCGACACGTTGACCTAAAAAATTTCTTAAATACATCAACTGCACAGATAGATCCTCTGAACCAACTTTCCATGGCACGTTCCATAAAATGAAATCTTGGAAGAAGAACAGCCCACATACACTGACAAATAAACCGCTCTGCCTTGATTCCGGGTGATTTGATCTAATTAATTACCAAGATGGCTTAAGCTGATCAGAAATCTGGATGAAGGAAGTGTGCTTGTTGGGGATCAGTCTCCACCCCCCTCAGCTCTTACCATCTGGAGGGGATCCTGAAGAGACGACGGCAGCAGACCGAAGCGCTCAGTTCATCACCAGACCCCAAACCCTGTACATGGTCCCTTAAAGTGCAGAGAGGCGACCCGTTCCCTCCATCGGCTGCTCCACTGACCAATAGGTAAGTGAAACAACCAGCAGTCTAGGTGACAAATCTGTATTATATTCATAATAAATATATTTTAAGGTTTAATTATAGGAATGACAATATACATATAACTACACAGCCAGAAAAATTAGAGTAAAAGCTATGAGGAATTGTGAATAATGTAATGTAATCTTCTCATTCAAAATTAATTGCAGCAGTTGAACAACATCTTACCTCAATGGCAGAACCATAAAATTTGAGTTATCACAATTGTTGATCATATTTGTTAGCATGTTTCTCCATAAATATGTCCATGTACAGTACATGTTTACTTCATCATGCTTATCTGGGAAATACTACTAATGATCTTGACAATATTACATCATCATTTTAGGTGACATTAACTACAGTAACCACATTTTGTAGAATATAATACATAAATAGCTATAGGCCTCACAGTATACTGTAGTTATGGTAGAATAGAGGTTGCAGGCATTTACGACATACACTTGTTTATTATAATAAAATTTGATTGAATATTAGGAATGTGGTGCCTCAATCAGAATTTAAAGAGAGAAGATGAGTAGAGTTTTTAAAATTTACATCTAAAAAAAACTCAAAACAATCACACCGCTAAGACAAGACTAACTTGTTGCATGACCGGTTTAAATTGTTTTGTGTTGTTATTCAGTTATCAGGAGACCCCCC